TTTTTTTTTTTTTTTTTTTTTTTTTTTAATGCTCACTGTCTCCTCAAGTCTCCATCATTTATCACCAAGAGGCTCTTAACTAATTTCTCCTTCTTTTTTTTTTTCTTAAATGGTTCAAAACCAGCTTTTCTGGCTTTCTCACTTAGCCAAAAGTGAGGTGAGACACTGAAAACGCCTAAGAAACATCCGAGGAAGGAAATGAAGGAGAATGCTCAGAGCGCAGGTGCTCTTGCAGGGACTTTTTTATTTTGTTACACTAACCTCATTGTAGGAAATTGCCAATAGAGGAATGTCGATGATTTGGAGCAGAACGGTGCTTTGGAAAGAGATTACATGGCTTTTATTGAAATCTCAGAGTAACTCTGTGTCGTTCGTGCCCTCTGTAATGGCCTGGGGAGAGCAAAGGATGCAGAATGGATATAAGGAACAGAATTTCATTAAAGGGTGGGAGGGTAGGGTGAGGATTCCAGCTCTTAAATAACTTAAGGGTAAAAATGGGAGATTGGGAACAAGAGGAGATAAATGAAAGAAAATACAGTGAGGCGAGTAGATGGGTCTCCTACCACTGACCAGTTTCTGTCCTCAGAAAATCTGACACCTTCTCTCCATCTGGGTCAGAGCTTCCAAGGCCCAGGCTGGCACGAGGCTATGAGGTCACTGAAAACCACAGTGAAGACACTTTGGGAGCATCTACTCTGCATCCTTCTTCCCTCCATCAGTTAAGTGCCACCGCCCAAAGCAGGGGAGGAGGGAAGGGTGGGGAAGAGAATTCGGTTTCCTTGCTTTCTCCTTCACTGTCCCCCACACCTCCCCACAACACACTATACCCCTCACCTGTCCCCAGATGCCCATTTCTCACCACTGGGCAACTAGAAGCCACAGCGGCCCCAGGAAAATGCGTGTCTTCTCTCAATGGCTTATAGGGGGGTTCCCAGTATTCCAGAGCAAAGCAATGTCTGTTTTGTTCATTGTGTGCTTGGGTGCCTGGCACACAGTAGACTCTCCATAGTATTTCTGGAATGAATAGATGAATGGATGAATGAAGCCTCCGAAGACGACAGTTTCACACACTAGCTCAGCCCCCACGTCCACATGCCTCCACTGGTCTCTGAAGAAGTTTCTCGTTTGTTTTGTTTTTTGTTTGTTTATTTGTTGTGGGTTTTCTCCTTGGGGTTGGGGATGGAGATGGTGAAGGATTTGGGGCTGTATCCTGAAGCAGGGAATTGAAAAGATAAAGTTTGGAAAGTCCTCAAACCTGACAATGGTTGATTCCTTTTCAGGATCTAACCGTCACCTCATCTCCACTCCTGCTCGGCAGCTCTCCCTCAGTCTTGTGTCCTGCCTTCCAGCTTTACCTCCCCTCCTCCCCCTTGATCTCCATTAATTCAATTTCTCTGCAAACCTCTAGGGATTGAACTAACTGGGCCATTGAGGGAATGAAAAAGGGACAGACACAGAAAATCTGGGATCAGGTGCTCTGGGCTCTCAAATGGAGAAGCAACAGCATCCCTGGAGCTCAGTGTGTTTATCATATGCAGTTGAATTGGGAGACAGGATTATTGCACACAGCTGAACAAGGAAGTGGTGCTACTACATACATGCCAATAAAGGGGTAGACGGGCTATTACATACAACCGAAGAAGGAGGCGGGGCCATTGCATACGATAAATGGGGAGGCGAGGTTGTTATAAACAGCTGAACAAGGAGGCAGTGTTATTACACACAGCTGGAAGAGGACGCAGGTTTAATTAATCTTGGTTGGAGCCAACTCTGTTCAGGCCATGGGGGAGAAAGCTACAGTGGACATTTTCTGCACCCACTGTCATCATGGGCACCTGGACCAGAGGACGGCTCTTCCTTTGTCTGAGCCTCACCCCAGGGAAGCTTTGCACACATTCACTCTGGACTTCACCCTCTCTCTGCAAACTTTATGTCGTGTCTGAGGACTTAACTCAGTGAAAATTACTTGAATTTTAGTAGAAGGTTCTTGAAGACCACCCAAAAGAATAACAAATTTCTAGAGAGAGAAGAAGTGCATGATTTTGGAGGTCTTTGTTTTTTTTTAAAATTACTTACCCTTTGAAGCTGTGGTGGCGGCGCACGCCTTTAATCCCAGCACTCGGGAGGCAGAGGAACCTGCCAGGCTGTGGTGGCGGCGCACGCCTTTAATCCCAGCACTCGGGAGGCAGAGGAAGGCGGATCTCTGTGAGTTTGAAACCAGCCTGGTCTACAAGAGCTAGTTCCAGGACAGCCTCCAAAGCCACAGAGAAACCCTGTCTCAACCCCCGCCCCGCAAATTACTTAACCTATTGATTTTATGGGCATTAGTGTGAGGGTGTCATATCAGATCCCCTGGAACTGGAGTTACAGACAGGTGTGAGCTGCCATGTGGGCACTGGGAATTGAGCCTGGGTCCTCTGGAAGAGCTGCCAGTGCTCTTAACCACTGAGCCATCTCTCCAGCCCAAGCTAGTGTGTCTTGATTCTTCTGCTTTAAACCATCCCTGCTCACCAAGCTGTGAGTCAGTCATTCATGAGGCTGCACCTGCCCTAGAATCTCTTTCATGAACTACACTGGATTAAGAGCTAGGGCTGCAAGATTGTCTTTCATGAGAAACAAACGTCTTTGCCTCCAGACATTCATTAATCAATGGCAATAATTCATTCACCAAGTGCCAGTGATGAAAGGTGGAACTGCACATTAGTTTGCCAGCAGCCCACACACTCGAGAGGACGAGGAGAGACAGTAAGCAAAACATTCAGGGAGCAGAGAGAACAGCTCAGGTAGAAGAGGGGAAAGTAGGAGTATGCCCAGGAAAAGCATGCCAGCAGGGAGGGCCAGGGAATGCTTCTCTGAGGAAGGGAGAGGAGGACACTCAAAGATTGTGGGGGCATGGCTCCTCCACAAAGTGGGGTGTAGTATAGCAGAGACATAAAAGGCCAAACAATCAGATACATGTTTACAATGACATCATTTTAGATCTATTATTATTATCTTTTGAGAAAGGTTCTCACTATGTAGCCTTAGCTGACCCGGAACTTGTTATGTAGGCCAGGCTGACCTCAGATTCATAGAGATCCACCTGCCTCTGCCTCCTGAGCACTGGGATTAAAGTCGTGCACCACCACACCTGGATTAGATTTATTTGATTGAGTGTATGTGTTTATATGTGAGTGAGAATATATGCACATGAGTGCAGGTGTTGGGAACTGAACTTGGGTCCCCTGGAAGGGTAGTATGCACTTGTAACCACTGAGCCATCTCTCCTGCACAAAGATTGCATATTCTGACTCTGTATTAGTCAGCTTTCTATCACTGTGACTTGAGACATTAGATTTATATGAGAAAATGTTTATTTGGGATCATGAATTAATATATTTCGTACCACATAGAAATCTCGAAGACATACATACACCAGGAATCACATGTTTTTGGGCAAACTGCACATTATTTAAATTATTATAATTACAGATCATAATATACTTTAAGTGTTGTTTTTCAATAAGTATAACATTTTTATTTATAAAAACAATTAAACAACTAATTGAACAGTTAGTTAAACAACCAACTAAACAAAGTTCTAGTACTTTTTAAATATATGGTACTGCATAAAACATTTTTCCACTATGAAGATGGACCAAAACAAAATTCAGGTATCTAGATTTTCTCCTTTTTCCACTGGAGGCACAAATCCTGCAGGCTCTTGTAGGAAATTTTTTTTCTTTCCACTCGCTGGAATATGAAGATGGAGGTTTCTGTCCCACCAGGTCTTACTGCCCTTCAGCTCCAAATAAACACACGGATGCTATATTAATTATAAAATTGTTGGCCGATGGCTAGGGCTTCTTACTGGCTACTTCTATCTTATTTATTAACCCATAACTATTAATCTATGTATTTTCATGTGGACTTGGCTTACCAGAGAATGCCCGGACTTGTTAGTC